AAAAAAAAAAAAAAAAAAAAGAATGACTGGGAAGGAGGCATTGGCTGGAGCAGGGCTAGCAGGGGACTGATTGGGGGGTGTGCTAGGTAAAGAGCCTGGGCTTCCAAGAGCTCATCACCTTGGGAATGACCCCCGTTTTTGTCTCATTGCAGAAGGAGCTGAGCCTGCCACGCCGGGGACGTGGGTGAGTGCACAGGGCTGCAGGTCTGGGTGGGGCCCTTTGGTCCTGGGTGCAGATACTTCAACAGCAACCACTGAATTGTAAATTAATTTAATGCAACACTTATCCTCTTGATCCTGCCCTGCTGTTTGCAAAGTACTTCACAAGCATCTTACCAGGCTCTCACTACAACCTGGGAGGCTCATGCAAATTTGCAAAAGAGGAACCTGAGGGGTACAGAGGAGTTTCATCACCAGCTTAAGGACACCCAGCTTGGTATGGGGGGTGGGGGACTTGTCTGGAATCATAAGTTGGGACTGTAAGAATTCCAGCCCAAGTATACTGGAACTGGCTTGAATGCTTCCTGTGATGGAGAGCTCACTTCTTTTCGAGAAACACTGATAGAAAATTGTCTCTTTTAGGGCCCCATTGTTGTTCCTATAGCTTGGCTTTTTCTTTTTCCTTTTTTTATTCCTGTACAAAACCAAAGAATGTATGCTTGGCATTTTTGGAACAATTTTATTCAGTGACTTCACTAACTTGAAGAGGGGAAAAACCAAAGCCCATGATGGGAAAGGGTTTGACTTAGAGCTGGTGATCTGGAGGAGTGTGAGTTTGGACACCCCATCTTTGGGGGCTGCCTTTGCCTGAGTTGGAGGTGAAAATCACCCACTGAACATTCTGTGAGCACCCACTGTATGTTGGGCCCTGTTCAAGGTGTAGGGGATATAGAGAAGTCGATGCCAGGCACTGTCTATGGGGCTTGTTCTCTGGGGAGTAGAGAAGTGGTTGAAGTGATGTGTACAGGGAAATAAATTAACCAGAAAAAGAGATGAAGGGGGTTTGTGGGTAGTTGGAGCCAGAAGATTTGGGGGCAAAGCTGGCATTGGGGACAAGAGTGGCTGAGTGGAGTGAGCAAGGGGGAAGCAGAGGGAAAGAGGAAGAAGGAAGTCCTGTGAACAGGGTCAGAGTGGTCCCCAAGCCCAGGCCATCTGCTCTCCTTGGAGTGTGAATGGTGCAGCTGGTAGGGAGGGGCCAGAGTGCCCCAGTACCCTGCCCCAGTCTTTGGACATTGCCCTGAGGACAGGCATTGTCCTCAGCTTTTGCCCAAGCTGGGGGCAGGGTGGTGGATGGTGAATCAATCAGGACCTCAGAGGGCAAAGTCCCAGGCCATGGGGACAGGATGGAGCCAAAGACTCCCTGAGGGTTGTCCACTCCCTCCCACCTGCCCTGAGCCCAGGGCTTCCAAGGATCAGAGCAGGACACACACATTTCCAGACCGTGGGGTCTGGGCTGAGAAAGGTGGACAGGGCTGGGGGCTCCCTGGTGAGGGTGGGAGTACAGGGAACTTGTGGGACATGGGTGAGGGGGACAACGTTCCTAGCTGAGGGTACAATGCAAAGACTTGGAGGTGTGGTCCGAGCCTCTGAAGTGCGTAGGGAGGCTAACACTGCCGCGGATGGGCTTGCAGGGTAGGGGATTGGGGCGGGGCGCGCTCTGATCCCAGGTCCGAGGGATCCCCGGAGACAGAGAGGAGGCCCAGCCAGGCCCGGGAGGAGGCGGGCTTAAGCGATGGAGCAATCATGCTGGCCGCGGAGGCAGTGACCGCCCTTCTTTGTCGGCGCACAGCTCCGGGTCTCCCAGTTGCCTTGGCGTCCCTACTCTGATAGCCCAACCCCTCCTCTCGGGCAGGCCTGCGCGCAGGTGCCGGGCTCTGAGCCCCACCTCGGGGCGGAGAAAGCCCGCCCTCCCAGGGCCCCCAGCTGCCCAGCCTCCCAGCCCAGCCCGCCGCACCCGCCAGGCGTATGGTCCCTGCGTCGGTCTCTGTCAGTCTGTCCGATTGCGCCACGATCAGGGTTTCGGGGCCGCAAAAGGGGCGTCGTTAGCCGGCCGCATTGACTCGTCTGGGGCCTAGACATGAAGTCCCGCCGGGACAAGCTGCACATTCCAGCACTGACCCTCGAGTGAGTGTTGAATTGGGCGGGAAGGCTCCCCCCCCACCCCCCGGGAGAACCGGAAGACAACCACCCTCCCCGCGCCGCGTCTGTTCCTTTCCTGTCGCCCAGAAACGCACCTCCACCTCCGGGGAGCCCTCCCAGGTCAGCGGTCTGGCCCCGCCCTCACGGTTTGCTCAAACCCCAGAATCTTGGGGCTTGGACCCCTTCCTGAGGGACTACAGCCCTGATCCGGTGATCTGGTCTCCAGGGGCGGCCTCCTGGTTCACCGTCCCCGGCCTCTTTCTTTGCAGTCTGTCTCCGAGCAGCCAGAGCCCGTCCCTGCTGAGTCCCAGCAGCCCCTGCAGTCCCTGTAGCCCCTCCCTGGGCCTGCACCCCTGGAGGTAAGTGACAGCGCGTGGGGGCGGGGCGTGGACATCGCCCTAGCACCCCAGAGCCTTGGAAGCCATCCCGACCTGGCCCTCTCCCTAAGGTACTGTGTAGGCTGGTAACATCACCTCTCTGGGACTCAGTTTACCCTGAGTTATAGTGGTGCTTCCATCTACACTAGGACCATGATGGGAAAATTCCATTTTCCACTATGCCCACTAGGTCTTCCATCTGACAGGTGGCCAAGACAAGGCCAGAACTTGGACTATTGCCCAAGGACTTCCCAAAACGGGTGTTGGATTCCCATGCCACTCAGGGCTCTCCCTGCTGAATCAGCCTGGACTTCTGGGCTGTATCCTCAGGGATCTGGGAGGAAAGCTATTTCCTGTGAACATACACCACCACCCCCAGCCAAACCTGAGAGACCATCATTGGAGACCTGTGCTTTAAGCTGAAGCAAAGAGTGCTGTAGGGAGGAAGGAACAAGTCTGACAGAGCACCAGTTCTATCTGAGGTGCTTGCTCCCTTCCCTCCATAACTCTAGGAGGGAGAGACCTTTCCTGACCACATTTACCAGCTGCAGAAACCCCTTGGTTGAGGATTCGGGCCACCCTCAATGGCTGAGAAGGCCTCAGGGTCTTGCTCCCATATGAGAGGACAAATTGTGGGTTCCTTGTATGATTTGGGCAAAGGTTCAGGGAGGGACAACAGACATGAGGGTCAATGATGTCTCAAATTAGATGGCCCTTCAGTCATATACACTTTAGTATGAACAAACTGCTCAGACTTTCCACAAACTTTAAGAGGGAGAAGAGGTAACAATATGGAGCCCACACTGGGTTCTGGGCAACAGGGAGTGCCTTCCCTCATTCAGTCGATAAGCACTTATTAGGGCCAGGCACGGTGGCTCACTCCTGTAATCCTGGCACTCTGGGATGCCAAGGCAAGAGAATCCCTTGAGTTGAGGAGTTTGAGACCAACTTGAGTAAGAGCAAGACCCCATTTCTACTAAAAATAGAACAATTAACTGGGCATTGTGGCAGGTACCTATAGTCCCTGCCACTTGGGAGACTGAGGCAGGATCACTTGAACCCAGGAATTTGAAGTTGCTGTGAGTTAGGCTGACACCATGGCACTCTAGCCCAGATGACAGTGGGACTCTGTCTCAAAAAAAAAAAAAAAAAGTACTTATTAGTCACCTGGTGTTTGCCAGGTGTAGTGCTAAGGGCATTGCCATGAACAAGACATAGTTTCTTCTTCTAGGGCTTCTCAGCTAGCTTGGGGAGGTAGGTGATGCAAAAGGGAATGGATAAACAAGATATGTTCAGACAGGGACCTCTTGAGGAGGTGATGTTTAAGCTGAGGCCTGGGCAGAACTAGGGGAAGACTGGCACCAGGAAGTGAGAACTGCATGCACAAAGGTCCTGAGGCAGGATGGAGATTTTTAAAGCTTCTGTGGCTGCCTTAGTGGAAGAAAGGTTTGCTAGGAACAGGAATGGAGGTTGCAGAGACAGGGTAACATCTATGCAGGAGATGGTAGGGCCTGGACCAGATCAGGACACCCAATGAGGGGCAGAGACTGCTGTCACCTCCATGTAGTAGAGGAGAAAACAGGCATAAAACCTTCTGAGAAATGTGTTACTAGGGACACCCTGGAAAAGAGTCAGGTCAAATCTAACTCTGACTCCTTGCCCTCAGCCCAGGTGAGGACAAAATGAGATGAGGGGAAGGACCCTGCTGTTGGGGATGGCTGAGCTGATTCCCCTCCTCTCCCAAGAAAGGGAGGCAGTTTGGGGGCTGGAACAGAGGCCACCAGGCTGCTTTGCTTACCGCTAGAGGGCAGCAGAGTCACATCAACTTGGGCCAAGACAGGAAATGTGTCATTGCCTCTCATGCTCCCTGCACCCTAGAGATTGGTTCACATTTGTCCCTTAGCTTCCAAATCCTACAGGATCCACCTTCTGCACCCCCTACCAATCTCCCCATTGCTCACTGTGCTCCATCCATGTGGCTTTCTGAGCTGATCCTTCAGAAAGCAAGCTGGTTCAGCTCCAGGGTCTTTGCACTTGTTCATCGGCCCAAATCTCCATTCCATCCTTTCTTCTTCTATCATATCTCCATCAAGCCCGCAGATGGAAAGTTTCCCCAGCCACCTGCTCCTTCCAGACCCCAGTTACATCCATTATGCCTATTTCCATCATTCAGACCCTGACAGGGGTGAGATTTTCATGTTTTCTTTTGTGATTATTGGGTTTTCACCAGAGGTTTGAGTGTCCCTGGAGGACCAGACCTGGATCTGTCCTGCATGTTGTATTCTCTTGGCATGGCCTGGTATACAGTAGGTGCTCACTTAGTGTATATGTCTTGGATGAATGGGCAGCAGGTGGGAGAGCTGTAGTTGTGGAAATGGTAATCACGGTGGTGGTTTAGGAGTGGTATTGAAGAAAGTTCAGAATTGAGCCCTTGTGGACAAAGAGTCTGTTCCTACCTGGAAGAGCATCGTCAAAGGAGCATTCCTTCTGAGGCCTTGAATGCCAAGGTCGGGAAGAATGTGGATTTTCTACCTAGGAAGGTCAGGAAGAATGTGGATTTTCTACCTAGAGCACTGGGAGTCATACAGGGTGTGGGGATGGAAGGGGCATGGACAGTACATGGGCAGGTAGGAAAGGCTAGGATAATCACATTAACAAGGAGTTGGTGGGAGTGATCTGTATACTTATCTGAGGCTTTGCCATTTATACAGTCACTAGCACAGGCAGAAAGAGGCAAATGCCAAGGTCATAGAATGGGTCAGGGACAGGGTTAGGTTCTGGAGTCCTAGGAGAGGGATTGCCCCCAAAGTGTGGTTTTGCTGTAAAAGCATTAGGCTATGGGGGGGGGCGTGTGAGCAGGGAAGGGGTGTGATGTGGTGGGCAGTGGACTGGATGCCAGAGATTAGTGGCCTAGCCAGTGATACATTATAGGCCCTTAACATGGCAGCAGGCCCTCTGTTGTTGTCTATAGCCCTGTTCTACAGAGGGAGAAACTGAGGCCAGACAGACATAGCTGAAGCAGCTGCTGGTGCCAGGGCAATGAGCATAAGTGATTGGGGAGGGGGGCTGTAGGTGTACCTGTGGCTGGGGATGAGGAGAAGCTCCTTTATTGAGTGTGTACACTGATGTATTCCCACACATATGGGGTGAGGGTTGCTTAACATTTGGTAGCAGCATGTAAAGTCCATGGCTCCATCCTCACTTGGGTCCCCACCTTGGGAGAATTTGTCCCCTACACAGGACTCAGGACAAACACATGGGGGTCATAGGTTACTGTTCCTGCCCCTTAATCTCAACCCACTTACTTTCCTCCATGGTACTACCATAAATCAGTCTTCAATGTTCCCCTCCCAAGCACTGTCCTAGCCTCCGGCCATGATCATTTCTGCCCCTAACAATTCCTACTCCCCATAGCTGACATAGGGGGAGTTTACAAACATAGTTCATATCACACACACACACACCGCACTCAAACACCCTCATGACTCCCCATTTCTCCTACAGTGAAACCACATTCCTTCCTGCAGCCCAAAAAGTCTACATGGTTGGCCCTGCTGGCATCTTCCTCTCTGTCCTGCATTAGAGGACTATGCCTCTTGCCTAGGACACTTTCTCCAAGGCAAACTCCTCTCCCTTCTCAATGCTCAGCTGGCTGGCTGGCTGGCTGGCTGTGAGACCTTCTGGTTAAAATTAGGCTTTCCCAGTGTTATCTCCTTTGCTTTTCTTTCTCAACTTTGGTATTTGGAATTATCTTATTCATTTAATTGTTTCCTGTTTATGCTATGCCTTCCCCACCAAACTGGAGGCCCTGAGGGCAGGGATTTTGTGTGGCCTGGTCCCTACTGTGTCCCCAGGGTTCAGGACAGGGAAAGGCACACAATAGGTGCTCAATAAATGTTTGCTGAGGGAATAAACTTCCAGATATGAGTGTTTCAATCTGAGGTCTGGGGAATCGGGGAACTTTCCTAGGGAGACACTGGCAGGAAGCGGGTATCTGAGGGTGGCACTGGGCATAGAGGGTACACGGTGAGACGTCTACAAGGGACTTGTGACGAGGGATAGGCAAAGTTAGGGCTACATACTGGGTGGCAGCAACTTCTCTGTGCCTCAGTTTTCTGGATTATCTCCTTTTCTCAGATATGGGATCTGGGCTCCAGCATCAGACTCATCAGGCCAGGTCCAAACATGTCCTGTGGCTCTCAGTATGATGCTGCTTCTGACTTCCCTGGGCTGTCATGAGAAGAGGAAGCATTAATTCAGTACCTACTGTATGAGACACTTCTCCTTCCATAGTGGCTTCCATAGTGAACATGTACTGTACCCCTAACCCTGTACCTGGCACCTTCTTGGGTCCTCTGGCCATGCTTCTTTCATGTTTTCACTATGGGGGGGGGGTGTGTTATAGACGTGGAAAAAGAGGCCTGGAAGGCAGCCTGATACTAACATTTATGGAGTATTTTCCAGGTCCTCATATTTCCTCCCATTTTACAGTTGAGCAGACTGAGGCTAGAGAAATTCAATCAAGTGTCTCATTCCTGCCTGTAGCTGATAATGGCTTTTCTCATCAGATGTGGCAGAGCACATCAGATGCCCTGACTCAATTTGACAGACACACCCTCTGTTGCACAGTCCAGTGCTGGAGATGTTGGGACCCAAAGGAGCTCCAAGCCTAGAGAAGACAGAGCCTGGCAGATGAGAGGTCTTTCCAAGATTCAGATGCTGAATTTTGCCAGGCTGGATTGCCAGAGTGGGTGGAGTAGCACAAGCCAGGTCAGGACACTAGATAGTTTTTGAGTGCGGTGTCGCACTCAGAAGGGGCTAGCGCCCTCGAAGAGACTTAAAGGAGGCAGTTATCGGATGTACATTTTTGTCAGAAAAGAGCAAAAATCCCTGGCCAGAGGTTAAGTTACCGCCAACGCCGGGTCCCCATCACCCGGGATCATAGCAACGCCCAGCCCCCGCCGCCCGCGGCCTTAGCAACGCCCCGCCCTTCTGCCCGTGGCTATGGCAACGCCCCGCCTACTCACCCGCTAGCGGGCCCGCAGGCCTAGCTTCCGCGTCGTTCGCTCCGCCCTGACAGGCCCCACCCCCGCACTCGCTCTAGCGGGGTTCGCGGCCGCGCTCGGGGGCGCGCGCATATTCCTAGCTCTCCCCATCCCCCGCGCAGCCCCGTGGCGCCCCCTCCCTCTGCCTGGCTTCGCGGGGCTCCCGGGGCCGTTCCCGCCGCCGTTGAGGTTCGCGCCCCGCCGCCGCCGGCTGCGCCCCCGCGCTTTCAGGGCTTCGGGCGGCGGCGGCGGCACAAAGGGAAGCAGCATGTCCGATCCAAGCTACTGGACGGCAGTGGCGGCTCCTGGTCATCGGAGCCGCCTGGCCAAAGGCGCGCTGCTGCAGCGCTCCAAGAGGTAGGGGGTATAGCGCGGGCAAAGGCCTGGCGACCGACTGAGCAAACACAAGTTGCCAGAAGTGTGTCCCAGCCGCGTGGCGGGGGCCACAGCAGGCTACCATGCGGGGCGGCTGGGGGAAGAAGGGAGGACTCTTCGGAATTGAGGCATTCCCTGGGATCCCTGGGATCCCAGGCACCTTCCTTTTGCTCCTCCTTTCCTGGACTGGGGTGTCTTTCTGCCGGGGCCGGAGGTGGGGTGGTAACAGAGACAGCAGCGCGTTGCGCCTGAGTTAGGATTTGAACCCCGGTCTCTGAGACTGGGCGGAACAAGAGAAGAGCTTCTTGGAAAAACTGAGGGTGATCTGTCCCTGAGGCCCATTCAATAGAAATGTTGACTCAGAAGCAAATATTTAGTACTGGAGGCTGCTGGATGGAGTGTCAGGATCCCAGAGGCAAAGCTTGGTCTCTGTTGGAGTCTCAGTTTCCCCTTCTGAAAACCAGAGAAGCTGAGAGAGGGCTGTGGATTTGACAGGAACTGGGTTCAAATTTCAGCACAGCCACTTCCAGGCTGTGTGACCACAGACAGTTCCCTAACTTCTCTGTGCTTGGGTTTCTCACTGATGCTCAGCTGGCACATACCCTGAAGGGAAGACAGGCAGTGTTTGGGCAGTGGGACCAGCTGCTGAAGGACCCTGAATGCTGGATGCAGGGCTTAGACTCCCCTCCAGAATTCTGGGAGCTATAGAGGGCCTCAGGGCTGGGGTGCAGGAATCTCGCCTCAGGTCTCTGCTTGCTGCCATATTCTCATTCTCTGTTGTGTCCTGGGTACCAGGGGGTGGTTTTTGAAGCACAACTTCTCAAGGTTCTGGGCCTCCTCCAGGGAGGGTGAAGCACACAGTTGGTCCTTGATGTCCAGGAAGTGAATGAATGAACCTAGTTGTCTTTTTGAATCCTTAAATTTGGCTGTTTTCAAGAAGATCTTGCCTGAGAGGAGGGAAGCCAAGCAGGTGTTTTTCCCAAATGCTGTTGGAAGAGGCAAATAATGCAGCAAGAATTATGGGGTGCCAGATGGGGGTGAGGAACCAGGTGAGGGACTGGGAGAGGATATGGGGATTGGCAAGGGTGTGGTGTGTCTATTGGGGGGAGCAAGCTGGCAGGAAGTTTTGCAGGAACCTGCGGGTTTCACTTTTGCTTCTGCACCTCAGGCTGGGACACAATCCCTGTAGCTGGTGATAACTTTGGTCTCAGTTTCCCAGTCTGGGAAGTGGATGCAGCTGATCTCTTCCAACTCCGAGGCTTATCAGGACTGGCACATGTTGAGGACTTGCCCTGTAAGCATTGTCCAGGGAAAGACAACAATGTATGCACCTGCACCAGACCCAAAGCTGAACACTGTGGGTTTCATCCTTCAATATATACAGATGGGGAAACTGAGGCTGAAGGGCAGCTAGCTACACATGGAACTGTGCACAGGCTAGGCTGCTCCTCCCTGCCCATCTTATCACCTGTGCCCCTTGATGATCCAACTCTCCCATGTTTTAGCCTGTACTGAACCTTCTGCCTGGGACCCCATTCCTATCTCGTTGAGGCCTTTAGGCCTTGTCCCTCCCTCCCTGTGTGGCTCTCCCCACTGAGCTGCGTTGGTGGCTTGGGGTGTGTGGGCTGATTCGCTTCTGAGCAGAGCCTGAGCAGAACCGTTGCTGAGCGACTGTTCTGGAAGAGGGAGTTGGGAGGATGGTGTCACTCTGACTTCCCTCTGTCAAGGTAGGGGCTGGGGCCAGGGCCCAGGAGAAAGATGAGGTTGGGTAGGGTTCTCAAGGCCAGAGCCTGAGGTCTGATGGCCAGAAGGGAGCTGGGGTAGAGAGGAAAATTGGGCAAAACTTGGGCAGAACGGGCAGGGCTGTGAAAGAGATTGCCTTTAGGGTTTTTGGTTGGGGCAGATTGTCATTTTAGGGAGATCTTGGGGAGAAGTGGCTGCAGCACAGGCAGAGATGTGGGATGTGATTGTGAACACAGAACCTGGAAAAACTGGGCCATGGGCTCCTGGCCATGTGCAGTATCTACCACTTCATGCTGCCACTGATGACAATACTGGCAATGGTTTTAATAATAAGGAATATTTATCAAGTGATGACTCCCCACTGGGCCTTGAAGGCTGGGCTAAGGGCTTTGGGGAACTCACCTGGGGGCAGAGTGGGAGTGGTCACATTCACCCTTCCCACCCTGCTCCAGAGCCAGCTGTTCATGTGCTTTGCGCTGGGCACGTGGTCCTCTTGGCCAGCCATCTGACCTCTCCTCCCCCTCACAGCTGCCGCAGTGGGAACCGCAAGAGCTTGGTGGTAGGAACACCCTCACCTACCCTTTCCCGGCCCCTGTCACCACTGTCTGTCCCGACAGGTGAGTGTGGGAGCAGCAGGCCGACACTATGTTCTGTTTCTATCCCCCACTGACTCAGTTTCTCCCGCCTCTTCCTCAGCAGGCAGCAGCCCCCTAGATAGTCCTCGGAACTTCTCAGCAGCATCTGCTATCAACTTCCCCTTTGCCCGGAGGTGAGCAGTGGTCAGCTTTGGGGGATGGTGTTGGCACAGCTGGCAAGGGGGCAAGTAGGAGCATGTGCTTGTGGCTGGACCTGGCTCCTCATTTGCCTTTCCTCCTCCCCTGGTCTCTGCATGATGACGTTCTCACCCTCTGACCTCCATCCCCCTGCAAATGCATGGCCTTCTACAGCCACCTCTCACGCGCAGACAGGTAATTTCAACAAGAAGAGGAGGAGAGGGATACAGCCCAGTCCAAGAATCACTAAGGCACTAAAAAAGTCACTTATTCACTTAACAAGAGCTCACAGAGCACCTGATGTATGCCAATCACTTGCTTTTTTTTTTTTTTTTAATTCATTCAGCATTTGTTGAACATCTTTTTGTGTGCCATGCCATGTGCTGGGAGGCATGGGAGGCCTCAGTTTTGTGGGGGCAACCCACAACTACAGTTGATCAGTTAAGGCTTTAATGAGGGGCACATTGGCAGCTGGGCTTAGGGAAGGCTTCCCAGACATGTCTGAAGGATGAACAAAGATAAAACACCTCGGAAGTACAAATGGTCAGACTATGTCTCTGTTGTCGCTTTATCAGAAGGTAGTTCCCCAACAGGGCCAGAATCTGCTGGCCATAGTATCTGTCCTTAGTCCCCACAAACCACAGGGGTCAGGCCTTCCTTCTATCTGTTGTTGTTCCCCTCCAGGGCAGACGGCAGAAGATGGTCCCTCGCGTCTCTCCCATCTTCCGGCTATGGCACCAACACACCCAGCTCCACTCTCTCGGTATCTCTTAGTGGGTGGACAGGCGGGTGCCATACTGGGGCAGGGGGGCACATCTGTGTTTTATTCAAGGTGTTGGATAATCGTGCAGTTAGCAAACATCCTGGCTACTGCCCTGTGCCCCATTCTGGGAAATGCAAAGGCCCCTGAGAAGATCCAACTTTGGCCCCAAAGAGTCCCCAGACTGGGGGCTACAGATATTCCTAGCCAGTGGGGTCAGGGCCTGGCCAGAGGGGGACTTGAGGCTGCCAAAGGAAGAAGTCAGGGAGGGCTTCAAAGAGGAGGGGCTATCAGAACTGGGGTTTTTGAGGGATGCATAAGGGCCAGGTAGGAGAAAGAATGTCACCATCTAATGGCTATCATGTAGCCTGGGCCTTGAGGGATGGTGTTGGGATCCTGGCTGTGGCACTGACCATGAACTCATGGCTCTGATTTCCCCTATTTCTCATCAGTCGAGCTCATCCTCCCGGGAGCGCCTCCACCAGCTTCCCTTCCAACCAACACCAGACGAGCTGCACTTCCTGTCCAAGCACTTCCGCAGCTCAGAGAGCGTGGCTGATGAAGAGGGGGGCCACTCACCCCGCCTTCGGCCCCGTTCCCGTAGCCTCAGGTGAGTCTTGACCTCTGGCCTCAGGCCCAGTCCCTCCCTGGGCTGGTTTGGAGACCCGTACCAAGTTTTCTCCTCTATCCCTGGCCCTGAGCTTGTAGTGCCTGGCCTGTGACCCTAGTCCCTCTTAAGTCCCTGCCCCCTCCCCCAGGCTCAATCTTAGATCTCACATCAACCAACAAACCAACCATCCCCTTTCAGCCCAGGACGTGCAACAGGGACCTTTGACAATGAAATTGTCATGATGAATCACGTTTACCGGGAGAGGTTCCCCAAGGTAGGCAGTACCTGGCAGCCAGCAGACCCCCAGCTTCCCTCTGTGTTGCTGTCCCTCCACAGCACTCTGTCTTCCTGGTTGTGTCCCCCCTCCTGTCTGTCCCTTTCTATCTTTCCCTGTCTCAGATTCTGTTCTTGGAAGGAGATTGTTCCTCCTGTCCCACCTCCATCCCCTCTTTCTCTGACCGTGCCTCTCCTGCTACCCGCCCATGACTCTCACCCTCTAGCCCTGCACTCTGACCAGATTGTCCCATCTCTCCCTGCCCAGGCCACGGCACAGATGGAAGGTCGTCTGCAGGAGTTCCTAGAGGCCTACACACCTGGTGCCCGGCTGGCACTGGCTGATGGCGTCCTGGGCTTCATCCACCACCAGATCATCGAGCTGGCCCGAGACTGCCTGGCCAAGTCAGGCGAGGCCCTTGTTACCTCCCGCTACTTCCTGGAGATGCAGGAGAAGCTAGAGCGGCTTCTGCAGGATGTGCGTGGGGCATGTAGGGTGAGGAGAAGAGTATCCCTAGGCAGGCCAGGGCCAAGGACCTGTATGTGATACCACTACCCACCTCCTCCAGGCCCATGAGCGCTCAGACAGTGAAGAGGTCAGCTTCATTGTCCAGCTTGTCCGGAAATTGCTGATCATCATCTCACGGCCAGCACGGCTCCTTGAATGTCTGGTGAGTTCCTTTTGCATGGCTGATGCAAGGTCCTGGCAAGACTGAGACCAGGACTGAGATGTTCCTGCTGAGATGCAACTGAAAGTTCCCATCATGTAGGGCTTTGAGAGGGATACAGGGTGCCAACAGGCTGGGGTAGGCTTCCCCCAGAGAGGTTTAGGAACCAAGACTCAGGGGATGGGATACAGCCACTGGGAAGGGTACTCTGGGCAAAGGGAACAGGAAGTGCAAAGGCCTGGAGTCAACTAAGCTCTAGTTGACTTGTACTTCTAGGAGTTTGACCCTGAGGAGTTTTACCACCTGCTGGAGGCAGCTGAGGGTCAGGCCCGGGAGGGCCAGGGCATCAAGACGGACCTGCCACAGTACATCATCGGGCAGCTGGGCCTGACCAAGGACCCCCTGGAGGGTGAGCTAGATGGGGAGGTGGGGAGAGGAGGGCAAGGGAAACTGAGGCCTGGGCTGGGATTTGAACCTAAGCCCTTGTGACTCTAGAACCACCACATTTTCCATCATCTTTCTGTGGCTCTGCCCTTAGCCACCTGTGAGAAATGCTCCAGATTCCAGGATTGGGTGGCTGTGTTGTCCTCAAATGCCACATCAAGAGGGCTGGGATGCCTGGAGACCAGTGGCCCTTCTAGAAGGTTCCTCAGGTGTTGCTTCCTGCATTTGGCTCCATGACAATAGCATGGGAGACAGGAGACACACAGCCCAGGCCAACCCCAGGGCCCTCAGGAAATTGTCAAGTGATGAAGGGTGAGGCCTGAAAGCCCTGTTTGAGACTCCTCCCTCATCTTGCAGAGATGATGCCACTGAGTCACCTTGATGATGAAGGACAGCCCCCAGCCCCTGAGTCCCCAGAGGTAGGTTGCAGAGCTTTGGGGCCCCACCTATCTTGTTCTTTCTAGAGTAGACAAGGTGGCCACGGGAAGGGCTGAGCTTACTGAGAGTTTTGCAGGTTGTAGGCACTTAATAAGCACCTGTGACTTTGCAGGGAAGGAGGTATGAAGTGAGATTTCCTAGCTTTGGTGGTCCAGTGGGGTAGTGCTGGAGGGGGCACTAGAAAGGTGTGTTTTGAAGGATGTATAGGCTCAGGAGGAGCAGAAAGCTTAAAATCTCAGAAGCTGAGTTAGTTTGGGCAGGGGAAAAAGAAATGTTGGGCTCTAGGACCAGTGGTTTGGGCTTGAGAGTAGGAGGAGTCTGGCTAGTTCTGCAGTGGGGCAGGCCTCTGAGCCCTTTCTGCTCCCCAGAGCCGTGCCCTGGTCAGCCAGTCACGGAAGAAGCCATGTGAGAACGACTTCGAAACCATCAAACTCATTAGCAACGGGGCCTATGGGTGAGTCTTGGGATCCTCCATGGATCCATTTCTCAGATGCCTGAGAGGATGTCTGAGGCCCCTTTGTCAGCCTCCGCTTTGGCAGGGCTCACATATTCACCATTGAATGTGCAACCAGGGAAACTGAGGGCTGCAGAGGGAAGTAGAAATATATAACACACAGGTTGTTCCCTCAGACAGACTCTTAGCTACTCCAGGTGTAGGGGATTCTAGGAATTTGGGGGCATGCTATAGTGGCGGTAGCATGCAGTGAGCTTTATTTAGGTGTCACTTTGACAGGCAAGCAAGGGAACTCCCAGGGAAGACAGGGCTCAGAGAGGGGCTTATGTGTTCCTACAGCACAGAAACTGAGTCTCTGGGTCAAAGAGTCCCACAAGGCAGCTTGAGGTCTTCATGTCCAGAGAGTTTGTCTTATCCATGGCTCAGAGACAGGTGCAGTGTCACAGAGCATGCAAAGTAGGCACTCAGGACTAAATTCTATTATTTGGGCTGTGTTCAAAACAATTGGATATGTAAAAATTCGAGTTTGGTGCCAGCAGGCTTTTGAGCTAAGCTACTGTATTGCCCAGTGGCCAATACACAGGGGACATTTTCAGTTCATTTATATGACACGGGGGGATGGTAGCATAAACCCATGGGGTGGTTGCTTTAGAAGAAGTGCCAGGTAAGGAGAAAGGGTATCCCCAGTGGCAGGCAAAGCACAGGGAAAGGCCTGGCAGGTTGGGTTCTGGGCCCATGTTGGGTCCCAGCACCCACTAGGGACTTCAATCTCAGGCCTCAACAAACTCCCCCACTCCCACCTCCAGGGCTGTGTACCTGGTGCGACATCGTGACACACGGCAGCGCTTTGCCATCAAGAAGATCAATAAACAGAACTTGATCCTGCGCAACCAGATCCAGCAAGTCTTTGTGGAGCGTGACATCCTCACCTTTGCCGAGAACCCCTTTGTGGTCAGCATGTTCTGCTCCTTTGAGACTCGCCGACACCTGTGTATGGTCATGGAGTATGTGGAAGGTATGGTCACTGAGGCTAGCATGCCTCTACTGAGAGGGAGCTCGTGCCCCCTATGACTGACAGAAAGTCCTGCCTTGGACCAAGCTGAGACCTGCTCTGTCCTCCATAGGGTCCCAGCCTGCTTGGGGAACTCTCAGAAACTCCAAGGGGTAGAGGGCCCGGCAATGGGGCTTGAGAGCTAGGAGAGCCTAGAGGAAGTGTGAAGATGGGACCCTAGGGGAAATAGGAAGGATGTCCTAGGCAGGAGGTGCTGATAGGCAGAGTCAAGGACTGAGGCTGGGACCTGTAAGCAGGTAAGGTACAATTACCCAAGGTACTGTTGGGCAAGGCGAGGGAGCATGCACTTAGGAGATACCAGCTGTGTATAGGGGAAGGGCTATGCAATAACAGTTACTGCCCTGCTGGAAAGGATCAGGAGAATCTGCCCTCCTGCTCTCCACTCTGATTCCAATAGATTACGGGTACTTTGCAGAAGGTAGGGAAGGGCGAAGGGATTGGGTCCAGCCTAAAAGGTGAGGGGCAAGGCCTCCATGACCATAGGCTGTCCCTCTCCCAGGTGGCGACTGCGCCACACTCTTGAAGAACATGGGGCCACTGCCTGTGGACATGGCTCGCATGTACTTCGCTGAGACGGTGTTGGCACTCGAGTACCTGCACAACTACGGCATCGTGCACCGTGACCTCAAGCCGGACAAGTGAGCTGGCTCCCATGGGTCCTGCGGGGTGGGGTGGGACCGAGGCCTCTGGCAGGCAGGGAGTGTGCATATATTGAGCACCTGGTGTGTGCAGAGGAGAGGAGAGCAGGCATTTACTCTATGTAGGGGGAGGCCAATGTATTTAGGGAGGTGCTACTAATCAAGAGGAGGAATATGTACTTAAGATGCACAAAGTGTATACAGAGGGCAGGGCCATACACTTAGCTGCTGCTGCCCAAAGGGAGAGGCATGCATGTATGAGGCGCCAGCTATACCACATATACAGGGAACAGTGTCGTGCACTTTGCAAGACTTTCCACGTGAAGGAAGTGATTGTGCATGCTTTGAGCACCTGCTGTGTGCCAGCACAGGGAAGAAAGGAAGAAAATGTGTGGATTGAGAGCCTCAGGATGTTTATTTTATTCTATCATCGGATAAATGCATACTGCATGTCAGATCCTCCCTGAGTGACTGGGAAACATTGGCCACCTGCTTTGTAACCCCTTTGAGTGATTTTCAAAGCACTCTTTCCTGTATTTGTTGAGTACCTGCTGTCTACTAAGTGCCCTCTGGATACAAGGCAAGGACTATACATTTCTCAGATGCTTGCTGTGTGGAAATATGAACATACATGTTAAGAGCCTTGCATGTTGTCAGGTTTGCAGTTTGCAAGTGACTTAGAAAACAGATATGTATGTTGCCCCTGCTATATACCTGGGCCTATGCTGGATCGTCTAAAGAACCCAGAGAGAAGTACGAATAACTTCTTACACATTAGGTTCCTATATCATAGTTTTTGGTTGGTGTGTATTTATTGGGCACCAGCTATGTAAAAGGTGTGCAGAGCAACAGCTATTACACAATGACTGTGCCAGGCTCACAGCATTTTAGCTGTTTCATTTTGTGGTTAGTATGCATTGAATACCTACGTTGTGCCAGGGACTGGGGCACTTTTCACAGATGGAGGAGATGCAGAGATCTACACCCATCAGGCCTTTGTGAGGTCATCCTGGCATGGGCTGGGGTCCTGGGAACAAGAATGGGATCTTCTGAGTGTCTTAGGTCAGAACCCAAGACAATACCTGCCTCTGTGGAGCTCAGGACTCTCATTTGCAAAATGAGGCAGGAAGGTACCCATCCATAGGGAATTCAGGGAGGAATAGATGCCTATGGTAGGTGCTTGAAAAAATATTTCTTTTTTCACTTTGGAAAATTTCAGATGCAGCCAAAAGTCCAGAGAAAAGTGTATTAGTTTGCTAGAGCCACCATGAAAAGTACCACAAACAGAGTGGCTCAAATGACAGAAATGTCTTCTTTTGTGGTTCTAAAAGCTGGAAGTCCCAGATCAGGTGTCTATAAACCTGTGCTCCTTCTGAAAGGGCCAGGGAAGGATCTGTCCCAGACCCCTCTCCTAGCCTCTGATAGTTCTTGGCTTATGGCAACATAATTCTGTTTTTTCTTTTCTTTCTTTCTTTCTTTCTTTCTTTTTTTTTTTTTGAGACATAGTCTCACTTTGTTACCCTTGGTAAAGTGCCATGGCATCACAGCTCACAGCAACTTCAAACTCTTGAGCTCGAGCAATTCTCTTGCCTCAGCCTCCTGAGTAGCTGAGACTACAGATGCCTGCCACAATGCCCACCTCTTTTTTAGAGACAAGGTCTTGCTCTGGCTCAGGTTGGTCTCTAACCTGTGAGCTCAGCCAATCTACCCACCTCAGCCTTCCAGAGTGCTAGGATTACAAGTGTGAGCCATCGTGCCTGGCCTGGCAACATAATTCTAATGGCCACATGATGTTCTCCCTGTGTGTGTATCCATGTCCAAATTCCCCTTTTTTATCAGGACACCCATCTTACTGGATGAGGAGCAACCCTTTCCAGTATGATCTCGTATTAACTCATCACATCTGCAGTGACCCCATTTCCAAGTAGATCACAAAGGGCTGAAGTACCGGGCCTAGGATGACAACATGTCAACTGTGGAGAATACCATTCAAGGCATAACAGAAGGGTGTAGACATTTAGCCCAATCCCAGTGCCCATTAACTCAGATTTCACACAGTTACCTACGTTTGGTCAATCCCGTTTCCTCTTAACTGTACCCCCAACTGGTTGATTTGAAGCAAATCTCAGGCATTGTATCATTTTATTTATATAAAGGAAAAAAAAATCCATTGCAGATTTAGTGTTCAAGAAACAAATGTGGTAGGGTTTTTTTTTTTTTGTATTTTATTATTTTATCATTATCATTTTTAGAGATAGGGTCTCACTATGTTGTCCAGGCTGGAGTGCAGTGGCATCATCATAGGTCACTGCAGCCTTGAGCTCCTAGGTTCAAGCAATCCTTCTGCTTCAGTCTCTCAAGTCACTGGGACTACAGGATGAAGGTTTTTTAGAGAGTGGGAACCCCTGTACAAGCTCAAGAAATACTAATTGCCTTAATAGTGGAAAGCCCCAGGCCTGGCACAAGGAAGGCCTCTTTTTGGAAACTGCTGGCTACACCTGGTATCTACACCAAAGTGTTTTTCCATAGTCTGTGTACAGAGTAGTTGCTCAAGAAACATTCCTAATTTTTTTTTTTGAGATACAGCCTCAAGCTATTGCCCTGGGTAGAGTGCTGTGGCATCACAGCTCACAGCAACCTCTAACTCTTGGGCTTAAGTGATTCTCTTGCTTCAGCCTCCCAAGTAGATGGGACTACAGGTGCCCACCACAACGCCTAGCTATTTTTTGGTTGTAGTTGTCATTGTTATTTGGCAGGCCCAGGCTGGATTCGAACCCGCCAGCTCTGGTATATGTGGCTGGCGCCTTAGCTGCTTGAGCTACAGGCACTGAGCCAAACATTCCTTTTTTTGTTGGGTGAAAGGCTCAACTAGAACTTGAACTTTACCTAACAAACACAATGTAACCTAATCATTTGCACCCTCATATTAATCTGAAATTAAAACCCTCATATTAATCTGAAATTAGAAAAATAATTAAATAAACAAAGGTTTATTGTATACTTGCTTAAGAAAACTCCTTTAAAAAAAAATAGTGGAGGCTGGGCTCCATGGCTCACCCCTGTAATCCTAGTATTCTGGGAGGCAGAGGTGGGTGGATCACCTATGCTCACGAGTTTGATACTAACCTGAGCTAGAGTGAGACCCTGCCTCTAAAAATATAGCCGGGCAGGGTGGTGCCTGCGGCTCAAGGAGTAGGGCACTGGCCCCGTATACCAGACGTGGCAAGTTCAAACCCAGTCCCAGCCAAAAAAATAGCCGGGCATTGTGGCGGGCGCCTGTAATCCTAGCTAATTAGGAAGCTGAGGCAAGAGACTCTCTTGAGCCCAGGAGTTGCTGCAAGCTATGATGCCACAGCACTCTACCAGGGCAACAAAGTGAGACTCTATCTCAAAAAAAGAAAGTGGATGTCGGGCGGCACCTATGGCTCAGTGAGCAGGGTGCTGGCCCCATATACTGAGGGTGGCGGGTTTAAACCTGGCCCTGGCCAAACTGCAACAAAAAAATAGATGTGCGTTGTGCCTAAGCTCAAGAACTGGAGGTTGCTGTAAGCTGTGACACCATGGCATTCTACGCAGGGTGACAAAGTGAGATTCTGTCTCAAAAATAAATAAATAAATAAATAAGAAAAAAAATGTGGATGTGCATATTAAATACACAGGATGATTTTTTTACAGAGCTGAGGTAAACCGTAGATGCTAAATAAATCATTCTTTAAACAATGGCTATCCATGGTGAATTCTCCAGAAATTAATTCTTATGTGGTAGATGTGCCCAGGAGGTACACAGAAATGTGACTTTATAAAGCTGGTGCATCTGATTCTGTTGTTTAACAAAACATTTATATATTTAAATTCATAGGAAAAAGTAGCAGTGAACATGGTACATAAACAATTGTTTGGGGTTTTTTCCTTAGAGACAGGGTCTTGCTATGTTGCCCAGGCTGAACTCAAACTCCTGGACTAAAGTGATCCTCCTGTCTCAGTCTCCTGAGTAACTGGGACTGTAGGTGCTATTTTACTGTGCCCAGCAACACGCATAGGTTTTTGAAAAATGAATGCATTTACAAGGTGCACAGAAATACTTCTGTATACAGCAAGTGCTCAGGATATGTTCATTTCTCAATAGGGGGTATAAACAATAGGTACTTGCAAAGTGTTTAGTTTGTTAAGATAATGGATACGTGAACAAAAATACGCTGTAGATACACTTAGTAGGGGTTATGAAATGAGATGTTTTAACACAGGGTAGATGCTGTGATTCTCAGGACATTTATGTTTGAGTAGCAGAGTATACAGCAGGTGCTCAATAGCAACACCAGATGCACCTGGTTGGGGCACAGAGGTGTTTGCTTTGTAATACCGACTCCTAAGACCAGTTGGCTCTCATGATTCTGTGGCTGTGCACAGGCAGTGCTTTCTGATCCCCTCTTGGGATAGGATCAGGCTGCCCTGGCCAGACCTTGGCCCAGCTTCAGTGGAGTAAAGGTCTGGGGTGGCAGGAGCGGCCAGGCACCCTAAGCAAGCACCTTCCACCTGCCCACCTGCCCACAGCCTGCTCATCACCTCACTCGGCCACATCAAACTGACCGACTTTGGCCTATCCAAGATTGGGCTTATGAGCATGGCCACCAACCTCTACGAGGGCCACATCGAAAAGGACGCCCGGGAGTTTGTGGACAAGCAGGTGGGTGGCCCTGCTGTGGGGCTAGACCCTCTGTGTGGAAGACTGACCCCCGCCCCAGGATAAGGGGTACTTTATAATTCCACCCACCCTTGACTCCCAGCCTAGCCCTGGCCTCTTTATCTCTCCTGGGGTCTCTCCCAGAGCAGGGCCTGGCCTCAGTTTCCCTATTCCACCTGTCCCAGGTTTGCGGGACTCCTGAGTACATCGCCCCTGAGGTGATCTTCCGCCAGGGCTATGGGAAGCCAGTGGACTGGTGGGCCATGGGTATCATCCTCTATGAGTTCCTGGTGGGCTGTGTGCCTTTCTTTGGAGATACCCCTGAGGAGCTCTTCGGACAGGTGGTCAGTGGTATGTTGCTTTGGTGGACCCATGTTTGAGCCTCAGCTCCCCTGGGGCTCTGGGGGGAGGTTCCCTGTTCACCTGTGTCAGGAAGAGGGGCGGGAGTGGATGTTAGGTGGGGAGGGGGCAGGCTGCAGAGTAGAGAGGGTGGTTGTATTAAAGAGTGGGTTGTGGAATCCTCACTGAGGGGACACATGAACAAAGATCTGCAGGAGCAAAGGGAGCCATAGAGATAGAAGAGGAAGAGTTTTCTGGGAAAAGAGCACAGCCAGGGCAAAAACTGAGGTGGGAACAAACCTGGGGTACTGAGGGAGCAGAGGAGACCAATAGGAGTGATTGAGGGGAGGAGATGGAAGGTAGTAGAAGGGCTTCCCCTGCCTCTCTTCCTCCCTTCATTGTAGATGAGATTATGTGGCCAGACGGAGACGAAGCCCTTCCAGCGGATGCCCAGGACCTTATCACCAGGCTGCTCCGGCAGAGCCCACTGGATAGACTTGGCACTGGTATGTAAGTGTGGGTGGGAACCAGTTGGGTGGCTGTGTCAGTTCCTGCGTCCCAGGGAATAGAAGGAGGGATATAAGGTAGATAGGAGTTCTACTTGGGAAGCTACATGGAGGAAGAGAAGACTTAGAGTTGGGGTTTTGGAAGATGCATAGGAGTTCACCAGGAACTGGCACAAAACTTTGAAGAAATAGCAGATAGCTAGATCGGGTGCTGAGGCTGAGTAAGTCTGAGTAATTATATGAGCCTGTGAAGTCATCAGGGTCTGTGTACTGAAGTCCTCAAAGGCCCAGCCCAGAGGATCCCACCATCCCAGTTTCCCTGACCACCTGGTAAATAGTTATGGGACTGTTTGAGACTCACACAGCCACTATGGGTCATGTTCATGTCTGAGGCTTCACCATGAGAGAAGATGGTTGGGTCCAAGATGAGGGAACAGTCAACTCCTGCTCTATAAAATGGAAACACATGAAAAAGGCCCAAGAAGGAAGCAGCCATCCTAAGGGTCTAGGGGTTCTCTAGATAGTATGATCCCAGAATGCAGCTGACAGAGGATCAGGCCCCTGGGAGCCGGGCTGGGCTGAGTTTGAGCCCTGGCTTCGTTCCCTTCTTCTGGGTCCTAACTAGCAGCTTATTTTTGCTTGCATTTTCCTGGTTCCTTTGGCCCCATCCTGTGTGGGTGGGGGTGGTGAGGTCTTTGGGAGGGTGTCAGGAAGGGGATCCACAGGGCTCAGTTAAGCATGTCTACAGGTGGTACCCATGAGGTGAAGCAGCACCCCTTCTTCCTGGCCCTGGACTGGGCAGGGCTTCTGCGACACAAAGCAGAGTTTGTGCCCCAGCTTGAAGCTGAGGATGACACAAGCTACTTTGACAGTAAGTTGGTGGGAGGGGGTCATCTTGGGGGCAGGCTTTGTTGTCACATAGCCCCTGGGGTGAGGGGCTGTCTACCAGGGGCTCCACCCAAGCCTGGCACCTTGCCCTAGGCTGGAGCTTCCTACTTCCTGAACTTTTCTGAGAATCCAGGGCATGTCTGTCAGCTATATCCCAGTTGGGATTTCCTGTGCATCTGGGTTCAGGAGACTACAGCATCCCTCAGGTTTCAGAAGGAGAAACCAAGGCACCAAATGTGTCAGAACCTCACCTGAGGCTCCCCAGCAGGTTCACTGTCCTGGGTGTGCAGCCCTAGCCAAGAATGGAGCCTGGTCTGTTACACAGAACAGTAGGCCACCTCACTTAGCTTTTGTGAAGGGGTCCTGGCAGGAGTGCTCTGATAACCCCTCCTTTCCACTAGAAGGTCCAGTCTCTAGTGCTCTAGTGTCTCCTCCACAACTTGCTGCATGTCAGAGGCCTTCTCTGAGCTTCTGTTTCCTTTTCTGTAAAATGAGGAAAGTCCTTTATGTTTGAGATACACCTAATTCCATGTGACCCATTTCGAGGGTTTGCTGAAGTTCAGAGACAAGAATCCTCCCACCCACAGTCCCTTGGCTTTTGGGGACACAGCTGGGATTTATTCCCAGATGACTGCTCTGCCCCTCCAAACCTTCTATAGTCTGTAAACACACCAGGTATTGTCCCACCAATGCCCTATCGGTGGCCCCATTGTGATGCCACATGGTCCTTGAGGCCACTTCTGGGTGTCAGGTAGGCTACACATGCCTCTCCCTCCCACAGCACGTTCAGAACGTTACCGCCACCTGGGCTCTGAGGATGATGAGACCAATGATGAGGAATCGTCCACTGAGATCCCCCAGTTTTCATCCTGCTCCCATCGGTTTAGCAAGGTGAGCCCAGGGCCCTGGATGTAGCTAGCTGTTGCTCAGGAAATGTTCTAAGATATCTGTCTGTTTGCTCTTGTGACTTTTTTTCCTCAGTGTGATAAAATACCTGCAACAAAATACACCATTTCACCATTTTAAAGTATACAGTTCAGTGACATTTAGCACATTCACAATGTTACACAACCACCACTTCTGTCTTGTTCCAGAACCTTTGTATCACCCCCAAAAGAGACTTTGTACCCATTGGCGGTCACTCCCCAACCTCTGTCCCTCAGCCCCCCATCTAATGATTTGAATGTTCTGGACTTTTTATGAATGGCTTGGCACCCCATAGCTCAGTGGTTAGGGCGCTGGTCACATACACCAGGGCTGGCAGGTTTGAACCCGGCCTGGGCTTGCTAAACAACAATGACAATAACAACAAAAAATACCTGGGTGGTGTGGCAGGTACCTGTAGTCCCAGCTACTTGGGAGGCTGAAGCATGAGAATCACTTAAGCCCAGAGTTTGAGGTTGCTGTGAGCTGTGATGCCACGGCAACAAAATGAGACTCTGTCTCAAAAAAAAAAAAAAGAAAAAAAATTCCTTCCTTTATTTATGATTTGATCCAAAAAAACCCTCACTTTCTGCTTTGGGCTCCAGAAAGGACTTTTCAATCAGCAACGGAAACCCCAGCTGTGGCCCCATTGGTAGCCAGTCTCTCTGAGTCTCAGTCTTTTCATCTGTACAATGGGCTATAGACACTGCTCTCTTTAGGGATGTGGTGAGTGAGAATTTAAGGAAGTGATTCACACTGAAGTACTTGACTAAGCCCACTGTCAAGCACAGTTGCAACTGCCTGCCTCCTTTGTTGCTACTGTTATTTTTTATTGCCTGCCAGGTCTACAGCAGCTCTGAGTTCCTGGCTGTCCAGCCCACTCCTACTTTCGCTGAAAGGAGCTTCAGTGAGGACCGGGAGGAAGGATGGGAACGCAGCAGTGAGGTGGACTATGGTCGTAGGCTGAGCGCTGACATCCGGTAAGTAGGCTGGGGAGATATAGACAAATCCAGCTTCCAAGCCTGCTGGGAGGTAGAGACACAAAAATCTGATGTTGAGTCAACTCCCAGAGACCCAGTAGAAAAGGGTCAAACATATTGGTCCCTCACAACCTCATTCCCCTTGGCTCTGCATTCCTAACATAAAGCACCCATGCACCATCACATTGCACTGTTCTTTCATCCAGAATACCCTTTGCTACCAAACTCCTATTCATCCTTCAAAGCCCAGACCCAACAGAAACAATCAATGTCTGGTTGAGGATGAGTGTTAAGAGATGAGTATTTTTTGTTTGTTTGTTTGTTTCTTTTTGAGATAGAGTCTCAGTATGTTGCCCTTGGTAGAGTGCTGTGGTATCACAGCTCACAGCAACCTCCAACTCTTGGGCTTAAGCACTTTTCTTGCCTCAGCCTCCCAAGTGCTGGGACTACAGTCACCTGCCACAACACCCAGCTATTTTGTTGTTGTTGCAGTTGTCATTGTTGTTTAGCTGGCCTGGGCCAGGTTCGAACTTGCTAGCCTCAGCGTATATGGCTGGCACCAGGCACAGTGGCTCATGCCTGCAATCCCAGCACTTGGGAGGCTGAGGCAGGTGGATTGCCTGAGCTCACAGGTTCAAGAACCAGCCTTAGCCTGAGCAAGACGCTGTCTCTAAAAAATAGCTAGGCATTGTGGTGGGTGCCTGTAGTCCCAGCTCCTTGTGAGGCTGAGACAAGAGAATTGTTTAAGCCCAGGAGTTTGAAGTTGCTGTGAGCTATGATGCCACAGCACTCTACCGAGGGTAACAAAGTAAGCTGTCATAAAAAAAGAAAAAATTGAATAGGAGGTATCTAGGCAAACATAGAGGATGGTATAAACAAAGGAAACTCATCCTATACTTACAAATTGCCCCTGATTCCAGGCTGAGAATTAAAATATGGCCTTAAGAGGTGACTGGATATCCTAGGGTGCCTGGCAAGAGTGACACAGGCTCCTCTTCCCTGCAGGTTGAGGTCCTGGACATCCTCTGGTTCCTCCTGTCACTCATCTGTGTCTCAGTCTGAACGAGGGCCCAGCCCATCTCTTCTGAACACCATCAGCCTAGACACAATGCCCAAGTTTGCCTTTTCATCAGAGGATGAGGCAGTGGGCCCCAAGAGGCCTGTTTTTGTTCTGGGGGAGCCTGAGCTACCCCCAGTGACCACCCCAGTGATGCCCAAGCCCTCAATCCTTTCTGGTAAGTGGAGTTTTGAGTAAAGGGAGTAGTGTCATGAAAGTTTTCCAGAGACTAGACTATTTGAGATGGGTTTTCAAGGATGAGTAGGCATTCTCCATCACTAACAAAAGCTTTAAGATAAAAGAGGTCAGGGCTCCAGAGAAGCCTCAGTTATCCTTAGGAGCCCCTGGTATAGGGATAACACTGCTAGCTTCTCAGGGTCAGCATGGGACCCCTACCTGCCAAGAGGGGAAGCTAGAGGTTCAACTGGATATAGAGGAAGGCTTCCTGGAGGAGGAGACTTGAAGAGTAGAGCTTTGCATAGAAAATAGCTTGGGAAGGGTATGCAAGAAGAAGAAAGGCCAGGAGGTTGGCTGAGGGGAAGGGCCTTAGGCCTCCTGCGGGTAGAGGGCCAAGTGGTAAGGTGGAGGAGCACCAGGCTGACTCCACTGATCCCCTAGCTGACGCAGCTGCCCTCAGCCATGCCCGCCTCCGAAGTAACAGCACTGGTGCCCGACACTCTACACCTCGGCCCCTTGATGTTGGCCGGGGCCGCCGTCTTGGAGGCCCAAGAGACCCAGCCCCTGAGAAGTCCAGGGCCTCCTCTGGTGGTGGTGGTGGCAGCAGCAGCAGCAGCAGCAGCAGTGGGGGCCGCGTGCCCAAGTCGGCCTCCGTCTCTGCCCTATCCCTAATTATCACAGCAGGTAACACTCAAGGTCAAGTCTGGTATTTTATTTGTCTGTCCATGTCTGTTTAACCAACAGGGTGGGGGGCTCTTCCTGAGTTGGTGAGGTTGTGGCTGAGCCTGAGGAGAGGGGAAGAAGAACTGAGGGAATAATGTGCCCATTAGAGGGCACAGCTTGTGTTGGGGCATTTCAGCCATAGCAAAGTCGCCAGGGTGTTCATCATAGTGGGAGAGAAAGGCACTCGACGGGGTACCCTACAAGGAAGTGAGTGAGCCCCTCCCTGAACCCTTGCAGATGATGGCACTGGTGGCCCCCTCATGAGCCCCCTGTCCCCACGCTCACTGTCCTCGAACCCATCATCCCGCGACTCCTCACCAAGCCGAGACCCATCCCCTGTGTGCAGCAGCCTGCGGCCCCCCATTGTCATCCACAGCTCAGGCAAGAAGTACGGCTTCAGCCTGCGGGCCATCCGTGTCTACATGGGTGATAGCGATGTCTACACTGTGCACCATGTCGTCTGGGTGAGTGAAGCTTCACCCAGACAGATGTAGGGAGCGCTAAGTGGGAATAGCAGGGACCTGGGTTCAAGCCCAACTCTGCCCATGCAAGTCCCTTCCTACTCAGAGCTGCACTTTGAAGCCTGGCTTGGGTAGGAGGACAGAGCTAGTATCACCTAGCTCTTCTTGGTCCCTGTCAGTTATGGGGGAAGAAGTTGGGTGAGAGAAATAGGGATGGACAGAAACAGAGACCCCAGTTGAACACTAAGTTCCTGGCTCCCTGCAGGAGCACAGTGGGTACATTATCTTCCCTGCCCTAGTCCCAGAATGTCATTCCTACCTCAGGGCCTATGCTCCCCACTGCACTCCCTAAACAACCCCCAAGGTCAGGGAAACTGAGGCAGCACAAGAGACAGCAGCTTGCTGGGGTCCCACAGCTAACGCAACTGGGCGAGGGTCTCTAGACGTGGGGCTCAGGTCTCTGACTCGTCAATCACTCCCTGTCTTGCCACCTGCAGAGCGTGGAGGAAGGAAGCCCTGCCCAGGAGGCAGGCCTTCGAGCTGGGGACCTCATCACCCACATCAACGGGGAGTCGGTGCTGGGGCTGGTACACATGGATGTCGTTGAGCTGCTGCTGAAGGTGCGGCCCTCCACACCCACCCTCCAGGCTCCATGACCCCCAGCACCCCCTTGGCTCCTGGTTCCCATCAGTTAGGTGGATGAATAGACCTTCGGGTGTTAGATCCCAGCTTGTCCCACAGTGAAGAGGCCATTGTAGCAGCTGCCAGACAGGTGGCGGGTCTGGTGAGAGGCACATAGGTGACCCTCTACTGTCCTTCCTAGAGTGGCAACAAGATATCCCTGCGGACCACAGCCTTGGAGAACACATCCATCAAGGTGGGCCCTGCCCGGAAGAATGTGGCCAAGGGCCGCATGGCACGCAGGAGCAAGCGGAGCCGCCGGCGGGAGACCCAGGACCACCGGTGAGCAGTGGGCCTGAGCAATAGAGAGTGGTTTTCAGGGTGCCAGGTGTCAGGACACTGGCAACAGAGTTCTGAAGCGCCCCCCTATTGGTTTTCCTTCCTGAGGCGGAAGTCACTCTTTAAGAAGATCTCCAAGCAGTCCTCTGTGCTGCACACCAGCCGCAGCTTTTCCTCTGGACTCCACCACTCACTGTCATCCAGCGAGAGCCTCCCGGGTTCACCCACCCACAGCCTCTCCCCCAGCCCCACCACACCCTGCCGCAGCCCAGCCCCTGATGCCCCAGCAGGTGGGTACACAAAGCAGGCTACCCTGGGAGTAAGCGCTGGTCTCTTGGGTAAATGTAGTGACATGATGTAGGGAAAGAGGTAACTGTAAGGAAGGGCCTTCCCAGCCTCCTGGAGTCTAAAAGGCAACCTGGGCTGGTCAGAGATAGGTGCAGGGGCTGGAAAGGGTATATCCAGCAGTGGGAACATTGTGAGGAAACTCAGTGAGACAGGAGGAGTGTGAATGCTGAGAAGGGGCGAGTGGGTAAAGAATGATTAGGCCAGAGCATGGCTTAAATTAGAGGGCACTAGGGAGCGAGGGAGGGTGTGTGAGCTAGCAAGGGCATGGTTTGAATTCTGGAAAGATTGTTCTGGGACAGGAAAGGATGGTGACTTAGCCTGATCTCTAGCATCCTTAGTCTGCAAGAGACAGCCAGCCACTGGGCTAGGGTCAGACTGGAAGCATGGACAAGCTGGAGTTATTCAGAGGGAAGGCAGGAGAGACTTTGTAGAGGAGCGTGTAGAGGAGCTGGGACTTTGATGAATGAGTAGGAGTTCATCAGATCTAGGCCAAGGAAACAGGGCAGGAGGTAGAAAAGCCAAGCACAATGGGTGGCCACAGGGAGGATGTAGACTTTGGCAGTTTGGTCAGTCCCAGGGCCTTGAGTCAATGCTGGGGGCTTTGAGGCCAGTGGCTCAGACCTGTGCCTGTCATCCACAGACACCACATCCCCACCCAGTGCATCCCCAAGCTCCAGCAGTCCTGCCTCTCCAGCTGCCACTGGCCACACCCGCCCCAGCTCCCTACACGGCCTGGCTGCCAAACTTGGGCCACCCCGCACCAAGACTGGCCGCCGCAAGTCTACCAGCAGCATCCCGCCCTCCCCATTGGCATGTCCACCTGTCTCTGCACCCGCTCCCCGCTCACCCTCACCCCTGCCTGGACACCCACCAGCACCCACCCGCTCCCCTCGGCTGCGCCGGGGCCAGTCAGCTGACAAGCTGGGCACAGGTGAACGGCTAGATGGGGAGCCAGGGCGCCGCAGCCGTGGGGCAGACTCCGAGCTGGTAGTAATGCGGCGGCTGCACCTGTCCGAGCGCCGAGATTCCTTCAAGAAGCAGGAGGCTGTGCAAGAGGTGAGCTTCGATGAGCCGCTCGAAGAGGCCACTGGGCCACCTGCCTTGGTGCCACAAATTGCTGTGGAGGGTGCCGAAGCTGTGTCAGGAGCCCTTGGACCCACTGGAAACGACTGATTCCTCCCCGCCTAGTCACTCCCTGGCCTCAAAAGTCATGTGTTTTTTGTGCAATGTTTTTTCTGTAAAGTCATACCTGGATGGAGACTGAGTCACCAGCCTAGGACACCTAGAAGGCAAGAAGCCTTTCTTAGTCCTTGCTGGAAAGTGGAGAAAGCACTTCCTTCATGTTCTGGTGTCAATGGGGGTGAGGGGGACAAAGTGGGCAGGAATGGGGGGATGAGGGTAGCATTGTAAATAGCAGGAAATCTCTGGAACTAATTTATTACTTTGTATAGGCAGTAGCCAGACTGAGCTGCCCCTGTGAAGGCAGCTTGCCACAGGCACCTGCAGATCCTGCCCTCTGGGCTGAAAAGGAAGCACTTTGGACAAGTCATGTGTATTTGTGTATTCTAGTTTTTCTGTACTTGTTAAGCTTTTTGTGTTACCTGATCCTGTCCCTGACCCAAGACCCACTGATTGTGGGAATGAAGCTGAGCTCAACAGTGCAGGCCTAGTATGGATGTGACTTGGAGAGTCTGTAAACAATTCTCCTCCCCCAAGGCACTTCCCACTAGCATAGTTGCCATCCCCAGGCCTTCAATCCTGCAGGATTCAGCCTGGAGAAGGTGTGGGGGTTGGGGGTTTGATGTACAAATAGGTGCTTATCAACCTATTTGAAGCAGAGGGGTCAGCACTGCTGCTCTGGGAGACCCAAGCTTCACAGGGCACTGCCAAGACAGGAGAAGAGTATCCACCCTGGACAAAATCCATGTGTTTGAGGCCCACCAGAGTGAGCCCTTGATCATGATGTGTCTGAAACACCCTCTGAGGGGTTCCCTTGTGTGTTGAGTCTTTCTGGGATAAGTGAGAAAACCCACTCCAAGCCTGGTTTTGAGTATCAGCTTCATTGTGTGACTCTGGGAAAATGGTTTTCCCACTCTGTGCCTCAGTTTCCTTGTGTTTACAAGACTAATCCCAATGACTGTGTGTTAAGCACTTACTGTGTACCAAGCGCTTTTACTTGTAGCCTCTCCCTCAGCCTTGAAAAGGCTGGAGGCAGCATTATCATCTCTGTACAGTAAGGGACGGAGAATTTTCCCACAATCACCTGGGGAGAATTGTGACAGAAGGGAGCATCAGGCAGGCCCTGTTGTGGGCATTATCATCAAGGGAGCATGAATGCAGGGTCTGGCACCAGATACAACAGACTTTAACCCCAGATCTTCCCCACTGATGGTGTGTGACTCATGGGCATCTTGGAAGTGGCTGGTGAGACTGCTTTGCCCCACTTGATAGGAGCTCTGCAGGCGCCACAGCCACTCTACCCTTTTCTCAGTCCCCTGCCCAGCAATGCCTAGTGTTGCAGGGCAGACCTAGGCTGTGCATGACTTGCCCCATCCTTCCATCCTGGAGCTGGCAGTGAATAAAAGCTTATATTTACAAAGATGAGGTCCAATGTCTGGATTTGTGAAGGGCCAAGAAAGGGGTTAGGGATGAATGGGAAGGGGAATGGGGTGAAACAGACCCGTGGCTCAGTTATTGCAAAAATAATTATTTTTTTGAGACAAAAAAAAGCTGCCTTCACAAGGACAGTTCAGTCTTACTTTGTTGCCCTCGGTAGAGTCCTGTAGCGTCATAGCTCTCAGCAACCTAAAACTCTTGGGCTCAAGTGATCCTCTTGCCTCAGCCTCCCCAGGTGAGGACTACAGGTGCCCGCTATTCTTAGAGAGCGCTCTTGCCCAGGCTGGTCTCAAACCAGTGAGCTCAGGCAATCTACCCGCCTCGGCCTCCCAGAGTGCTAAGATTACAGGAGTGAGCCACAGCGCCCGCCTTTCAAATAGGTTGTGGGGGGCATGGGAGCTGGCCATGGAGATCACTAATGGCTTCTCAGGTTCTGACCTGCTAGCTCTGTCCTTAAAAGCTTCATCCACTCGTCTGGGCCCCTGAGCTACGGTAATAAAATCAGAAGAATATCGTGCCATCCTGGTCTTTGCATGGACTGTGCCATAAAACTTTTCTCCCTACCCTAACCTAGGCTAGCTCCAGCGCGATCCGTTACTTCCGGGACTCTGAGCAGTCTCAGAAACATTCTTGGCCACGCCCCTGTCTCCGAGTGTCTTTGGCTGTTTCCGGAAACAATCTTCTGCATCAGGCTCAGGTTGGCCAAGTTGTTCCGGTGTTTCCGGACACTCTGGGTTGCCATGGAAACGCCATCAACGTTGGCTCTTTCTTGGACCTCAGCTTGCTTGGAAGTTTCCTATAAAGTTCAGCTTTCTGTGGCTATGGCCTTCCCCACCACGTTGCCTTCCTCTTTCCTGAACTTCAGGTTGCCTTATCTGTCCTCTGGAACGGTCCATGCTTCAGCGATTTTCGGAAGCTGGTGACCGCCTCTGGATCTAACTTCCTAGAGCCTCCATTTGGGACTGAGCACGCTCGGTTCTTTCCAGAAACGCTCCGCGGTCTCGAGGCTCAGCCTGGGTTCCTCCAGTCCAGCTGTTGCGCGTTCGGCCATTTCCGGAACCACTCGGGCGTCTCTAAGCCCAGTCGAGTCCAGCCGATCCCTACCGAGCCCAGCATCGGATCGCTGGCCGACCTGGTTGCGCTCGACTGTTTCCGGAAATGCTCGGCTGTCTCAGCGTACATGCCCGCCCTCCAGTCCCGCGGGATTCTGTTCGGCTATCCCCGGAATCGCTCGGGCGTCCCCTCATCCCAGACTCCGCTTCGGCCTCTGTTCACCCGCCCGGCCCGAATACGCTCGGCTATTTCCGCCGGGGGCGGGCCTCGCCGCTCGGAACTGTGGCGGAGGTGGAGGCGGGGATCCCGCGGCTGCGGCGACGGCTGCCCCTGTGTAGCCACTGGGCGGGCTAGACTGGCGTGACGGTGGCCGCGGCGGCGGCGGCAGCAGCGGCGACCAGGTGAGTCCGAACTGGCCGTCGTGGAAAGAGGGATTGGGGGTGTGCTTAATTGCAGACGCCCAGATAGAATGCGGGGCCCAGGTTGAAGCCAGAATGCGAACGCCAGACTGCACCAGGCCCTGCGGGAATTAGGGGGCCTCAGGGACAGAGAGGCCTCGGGCTCGACTGGACGGCGGTGCGGCTTGCCTGAGACCGTCGGGGCAAGGTGGGGGTTTCCCCCAGCGGTAGAGATGAGGGGCTGGAGCTGCAAGCCAGAATGCAAGGAGGCCCTGCCTGGAGTGGGGTGTCGATCAGTAATGAGGGACGCCCAAGCATTGTATGGGGCATAATGGGGTGCAAGAGGGTCCAGGGTCATCCTACTTCCGGTCCCCTTGCTGGACTGCGGGTCCACGCAGGCCGGAGTGCGCGTCTGCGAGAGCACGCAGGCCTTGCGTTCATCGCGGACCCCTTAACCAGGCCTGCCCCGCCCCCCGGCCCTCCTTAGATTCGGGAGCGGTGATGCCTGGGCGCGCACACTGGGGCGTGTGCAAACGTGTGCGCACCGGGTTGCGGGGGTGTGCAGGCATACAGATCCAGGCGGTTTCTTGGGTATCCCTTTTCCGGGCCTCAGTTTCCCCACCTGTAGAATGGAGGAAACAGGGGCCAGAGAAGGGGTAAGTTGGGGCACCTGGGAATATGGAGCCTCTGCTCTGTGCTTGGACACCTAGTGAAGCTGGGAATAAAGTCCAGACTCTCCCCCTGGCACTTGAGGCCCTTCGGGGGTGTTTTCCTTATAGCCACTCTGAACTCTTAGCAAGCAATGTCCCGCTGCCAAGCCTTTGCATGTACCTGTTACCTCTGCCAGGTGCAACCGCCTATCCTCTGAGATGACGCATTCTTTATGAAAGCACGCCCCCCTCCACCCCGACCCCCTTCCTCACAGAAGGACTGAACCCACAGTGTTCAGGTGTTAGAGGGGTTAGTGCCCATCTCTGCCACCCCATGCTGGTGCTCCAGCACCCAGCAGCCTCCCCTCATTGGTAGCTGCAGTACCCTCCTCTTGGCTGCCTCTGGCTCCCTGTCCTAACCTGGGACTAAGATCCCCTCTGGCTCTTCCCAGCCCCTCCCTTCTTCATGTTTTGCACCTACTGTGAGTCCCAGAGTGAGCCTGGCTGGGGACACCAACACCTAACCTCAACCCTGGGTCCCCAATAATTATCTCTATAGAGACTGGAGATCCATTTGCTTGGACTCATCTCTAGGCCTTTGTTTATTCCAGGGCCTCTCCCTGGACCTCCTTCCTTACCCTTTTTGCTCAGCTGACCTGACCCCCTCTATGGGGCTCCCAAAATACCCTGAAGTATCCCTCAATGTGCCCTGCCCACTCTGGGTATAACTGCCTGGCCATGTGTTTGCTGCCTACTCTCTTCCATCTGGGCCTTGGAGTTGAGTGAATCTGGGTTTAAGTCCTGGTTTTTTCCTGGCCCTCTAAGTGGCCTACAAAGACTTCTATGCTCTGAGCCTCGGTTTCCCATTTCTAACAGAGGTAATCAAGAGCTTCTTTACTAAGCATGCCTGGGCAGATTCTTGGGAGCTATGCTCCCAACTACCCTAAGGGAGGGCTGTTAGGGCCCCCATTTTACAGATGGAGAAACTGAGGCCCAGAGAGGGGCAGGGATTGGTCCAAAGGTCACTGGACAATTCAGGGAATTCCAAAACTGGATTTGAACCCATCTCTGTGTTGGAGGTAGGAGGAGTCAACCTACCTAATGCTGCCCTATCTTTCTCTCCTCCCTAGGTCAGCATCTTCGGCCAGTGAGCATGGTAGCAGCCTGCGCCCTAGGCTCCCTCATCTGGCGCCGCCAGAAGAGCCACCAGCCTAGGGTGCCAATGGCTACCTGTGTGAGGGAGTGAGCAGCCTGCCCCCACCCCACCCATTGATGGGGGACATAGTAGCCCAGTGACCTGATACCACACCATCAACTCCCTCCCACCAGTTGACGAATGGTGGACAAAACGATCAGTGGCCCTTGTCAGGGTTCTGGAATAATGGAAAGTGAGGCATGAGCGGCCCTTGTGGTCGCCTGTGATTGTGGGAAATAGAGGTCCCAGCACCCCAAGCCAAACCAGTGGACCCTCCTAGCCACTGCCCTGGCCAATGGGGCCAGTGGGGCCCCAAGAAGCCACCTGACCATCCAGACCCCACCCCACCTAGTCATGGCGGGTGCTGAGGGCTTCCAGTACCGGGCACTGTACCCATTCCGCCGGGAGCGGCCAGAGGACCTGGAGCTGCTGCCGGGCGACGTGCTGGTGGTGAGCCGGGCAGCCCTGCAGGCACTGGGCGTGTCCGAGGGTGGCGAGCGCTGCCCACAGACTGTGGGCTGGATGCCAGGCTTCAATGAGCGCACGCGACAGCGAGGTGACTTCCCTGGCACCTATGTGGAGTTCCTAGGGCCTATGGCCCTGGCCCGGCCTGGCCCTCGCCCACGGGGCCCCCGCCCATTGCCGGCCAGGCCACGCGATGGACCACCTGAGTCAGGTGAGCAGCAGGCAGGGGCCCTGGAAAGTGGGTGGTCCCCTCAGACCCTTGGTCTCCTTTATAGTGAGGCAATGGGACCTGTTCCAGGGGAGGAGGAAAATGGACATTTAGTCATTTGACAAATGTTGACCTCATTATTGTCAAGTGCTGGGCTCAGCAGTGGACATAAGGCCTGCTTCAAGAAGTGATGAGCATGTGATTAGGTGGCAGCAGATGCAATGAGGAAGGAACCTGGCAGGGGAAGAGCTGAGGGTGGAGTACTCCAGGCTCTCGGGCACAATAGGGCAAAGGCTATATGCAAGATGGGAATGTAATGGCAGGTTCAGGGAACAGGGGAAGGAAACAGGCCTGGGTCTTGAGGACTTGGATGAATGTTAAGGACAGTGATGAGTGTTCAGTAAGATTCAGAGGCTCAAACTAGCTTCATCCTGCATTTTGCAGACAGGGTCCCTCAAAGAACTGCCTGTGTTACTCTGATTTCATTTGGTGACCAAAATGATGGGACCTACAAGCTCAAAGAGGGCGGGATCCTCAGTCAAGGCCATGCAGCTCCATGGGGTATGAGGACCTCACATCCCTTCCCCAAGACCCTTGGCCATTCCCTCTTCCAAGGGTGTGTTGGACAATGTGACAATCAGGAGCACTGAGCCTATGCTAAAATTGCTGGATGCTAGGCAGAGGATATGGTTCCAGCCAGGGAAACAGGCTCAGGTTGGAAAGAGGAAGAGTCTGAGGGGTACTGAGTGCAGCCCAGTGAGGCCCCGTATGGACTGGGAGACCAAAGTGCAAGGGGATAAATGCTTCACCTGGGATCAAACAGTGAAGCTTAGAGCCCCTGGAAATGCCATGCCTATTTTGTGCCAGAGGGACAACTTCCCAAAGAGGGTCAGGCCAGTCCCACAGCATGGGGCTGAATATGGAACACTGAGGTAGCATGGCGCTGGCTTGGGTCTCACAGCATCTGGTGTCTCTAGGGCCTGGGCCTGTGTCCCGCCTCAGCCTGGAAGATCAGGAGGCGGCCCCATCCGGGCTGCCAGCCAGAATCTGCTTCTCCCCCTGGTAACAGCCACCTGCCTCCTCTGTCTGGCCTTTATCCAGCTACTACACATATCCCCACGTGGGGCAGCTATCCAGCCCCACCCTCCAAATCTTCTAGGGCTACATGACCTCTGCCAGAGCTTACCCACTCCTAACCTCAGTTTCCTCATGTGGAAACAGTAGGGTTGGTCCCCTTGCACCTTCAGGCCCTGCAGCTCTGGGGTGCTGGGACCACCCAATGTGCTAATGTGCTGAGGTTGCCTATGTTTCTGCCATCCAATTCCAAGTGGGGGGCTGAGGACAGAGCCCTAAAATTGCCTGGGCCTCCCCCTGGCTGTGCACCCACAGGGAGGTTGCTCCCTCTGTGAGCCACAGTTCCTCATCTGTAAAGTGGAAGTAATGCCTGTTTTAGTGGGCTCCCTCCCCACTTTGCAAAGTAATGACAGGTAAGTTTCAGGGTTGAATTTTCAGTTCACAGGGCCAGAGTGTCACCCACCTCCTCTCCCCTTGTTCTTTTAAATTTTTTTGGCATTTTAGATGCAGCTGGGCCTTTCTCCAGCTTGAGGCACCACCTGGCCCATCACTCAGGGAGGCCCCGCAGGCCCTAGCTTGCCCTTACTTTGTGCCAGGGCGTCCCCGCCGAGGGCCAGAGCTGCATCAAATGGTAGCAATGCAGGCAGAGCACTGCTGTTACAGAGACACCTGCACACAAAGGGCCCTGTCTAGAGGGAAAGGAGGGACTGGAAAGGAGCTGGACCCAGGAGGCCACTGGCACCCATCGAAGGGGTTCAGTATTTTAAAAAGAGGGGAGAGAATAATTTTTTAGAAGCAAAATGACTCAGAAAATGGGGGAAGTCCCTTGGAATAAGCCATTCAGATCCAGATGGGGATGTTTTCCTTTTATTCCTTTCAAACACTTTTTTATTTGCATCAAGAAGGGAGTAGTAACACCATCAGCCCATTTTCTAGTCGAAGAAACTGAGACCCAGAAAGAGCAGGTCCTGTGCCTGAGATTACACAGCAGGCTATATAGTGGAGCCCAAACCTACTGTATGAGTTTCAGTGGCTGCTGTAATGAATTGCCACAAACTGGGTGGCTACAAAAAAGAGAATGTTTTCTCTCATGTTTCTGGAATCCAGGAGCCCAAAATTGGGACCATGCTCCCTTTGAAGGCAATGGGAGAGAAGCTTTCCTCATCCCTTCCAGCTTCTAGTGTCCCTAGGTATTCTTCAACTTATAGGTCGATTATTCCAATCTTGTGTTTTCTCTTATAAAGACACTAGTCATTTGATGTAGGGCCCATCCCCAAACCAGGATAACCTCTCCTAGAGATCTTTACTATAATTACCACTGCAGAAACCCTATTTCCAAATAAAGTCCCAGTCACAGGTACCAGGGGTTAGGATTTGGACATATCATTTGGGGAGACACTATTCAACCCACTACACCTGGTCTCTAAAGTTGTGTAAACTCCTGATACGTTAGTCCAGAAAATTGTTTCCCATTAATTAGGCCTTCCCAGCCCCTCTGGCCTCCTAAGCTGGGCCCTGCCTTGAGCCACCTGTGCTGAGGTCCAGCTGGCAAAGAGATGGGCTGGGATCCTTCCAGGGACCCCACCAATATGCTGTCCCCTCCTGCCAGGCCTCATACTTGCTGACTTGCCGGAACAGTTCTCCCCACCTGATGTGGCACCCCCTATTCTGGTGAAGCTTGTGGAGGCCATTGAACGGACAGGTGAGCTTTATCCTGGCTGTAACCCCTGCATTCTCCTTGCTTACCTATAGTGATGGGCAATTCATCCCCTCACAGGACTGCATGGGAGGAGGGTGAGGCTGATGATCTGGGTAGAGCAATGAGTGAACCCCAGGGGAAGATGAACAGATGGACAGGACCAGGCTATTGCAAGTCCTGTGTTATGTCTGAGCTCCAAAGCGAGACTGCAGGGGCTTGAGTAGCCAGCTTAGGCCTCATGAGGGGAGGGAGGAAGTTGGGGCAGAATTTGAGAGCCAACTCACCTGTCCCCACTTCATCCCCCAGGGCTGGACATCGAATCCCACTATAAGCCAGAGCTGCCTGTCCCGCGCACAGGTTAGGGGAAGCCTCGAGGGGCAGGGGTGGGGGAGGAGCGGGCAGGGGCCACAGTAAAAGTCAGATATGTCCCCCTGCACCTTCAGACTGGTCACTGAGCGATGTGGATCAATGGGACACCGCAGCCCTGGCAGATGGCATTAAGAGCTTCCTGCTGGCGCTGCCTGCTCCCATAGTAACACCAGAGGCCTCAGCCGAGTCACGCCGGGCCCTGCGGGGTGAGCCTGATGGGCAGCCTGGGTTAGGGAGGGATTTGCGGGGGCGGGGGTAGCCGAGTACCGCCCCGGCTTATTCTGCCTGGCCATCTGTCCACAGAGGCCGCGGGGCCCCTGAGGCCTTTGTTGGAGCCCCCGACGCTGCCGCTGCACCGCGCGCTCACACTGAGCTTCCTACTCCAGCACCTGAGCCGAGTGGCCCGCCGCGCCCCAGCTCTGGGTCCCGCGGTCCGATCCCTGAGCGCCACCTTCGGGCCGCTGCTGCTGCGCGCGCCACCGCCCTCGCCACCGGCAGGGGGCGCGCCCGATGGGTGAGAGGGCGCGCCGAGCCGGAATGGAAGGGGTGGGACTTGGCCAGAGTGGGCGAGGCCAAGGGCGGGATGAAACCGCGCTCTTGTGGTAGAGAAGAGGGGCGAATTGGAGGGGACATGGAAGTCGAGATGGAGGGTGAGGGGGCATAGCCCAGAGGGGAGGCATATAGATGGGGTCTGCACACTCGTCGAAGCTCCTCACGTAACCCATAAATGTATGAGCATTTATGGGGTGCTTACTGCATATACTTCCATAGGAGTGGGCCTCTCACACCTGCCTCTATCACCTCCCTCTTCCCTGCACATACCTTCGCTTATACACAACCCTAGGTGTGCAAACATGTGCAGAATTGTGTGCAGATGCGTGGGCAGATAAGGCCTACCCAGCCTGCACTGCACTCCCCTTCCCTCCAGAATTGAGCCCAATCCTGACTTCCCCGCACTGCTGGTGGAGAAGCTGCTTCAGGAACATTTGGAAGAGCAGGATGTTGCACCCCCAGGTGACACCCCTTTACGGTATCATTTCTTGTTGTTGGGGGCCCATGAGTGCTAATTCCAATGCCCTGCCAGTATCAGTAGGACCAGTTGCAGTGGGAGGCAGCAGGAGCATACCGTCAGTGCTCAAAATGCATTTGTTTTTCTATTCTCCAGCGCTGCCACCTAAACCCTCCAAGGCAAAGCCAACACCCACAGGCCTGGCCAATGGAGGGAGCCCACCCTCCCTGCAAGATGCTGAGTGGTACTGGGGGGATATCTCCAGGTAGTGTTGCTAGTGTGGGGCCAGGAAACAAGGAGGTACCATGTGGTGGGCAGGGTCTCCAAGTGGGCAGCCCTAATCCTGGTGTCCCACAGGGAGGAGGTGAATGAGAAACTCCGGGATACACCTGATGGCACCTTTCTGGTCCGAGATGCATCCAGCAAGATCCAGGGGGAGTACACATTAACCCTCAGGTGGGAGCCTGTCCCTTCAGGGATGACTGGGGTCAGAGGTCACAGAAGCCAGGTGCCCAGAGCGGGTGGGAGATGTAGCATCAGAGCCACTGGAATGGGGGTCAGGTTTGGGGTCTCTTATAGGTGCTGATACGCCATCTGTTTCCTCGCCCCCAGGAAAGGTGGGAACAACAAGCTGATAAAGGTCTTCCACCGTGATGGGCACTATGGCTTCTCAGAGCCACTCACCTTCTGCTCTGTTGTGGACCTCATTAACCACTACCGCCATGAGTCATTAGCACAGTATAATGCCAAACTGGATACGCGGCTCCTCTACCCTGTATCCAAGTACCAGCAGGTCTGTGCCAGGGTGGGAGCCAAGGAGGGTAGTTCCTGGCTAGCCCTGGGTCTCAACTTCCCAGATAGGCCCAGCAAGACCACACAGCTCCCCTGATTGCACTGGGTATCCCCAGGACCAGATCGTCAAGGAGGACAGCGTGGAAGCAGTGGGTGCCCAGCTCAAGGTCTACCACCAGCAGTACCAGGACAAGAGTCGGGAGTACGACCAGCTCTACGAGGAGTACACACGTACCTCCCAGGTACTCTGGGCCCCACACACAGAAGAAACTGAGGCACAGAGGGGCAATAGCAAGGCCAGCTGCAAGATGGCCAACCTCAAGGGTCATGAGGATGGATATCCAGTTCCAGGTCACAGAGCAGGCACTTGGGCTCGATGCCTGTAGCTCAGCAGCTAGAGCACCAGCCACGTATACCAGAGCTGGTGGGTTTGAATTCAGCCCAGACCTGCCAAACAATGACAACTATAACCAAAAAATAGCCAGGCATTGTGGCGGGCGCCTGTT